GTTTCGGTTAGGTGGGTTCGACATGGGAAATGCAGGAGTAAGGGAATGGGTCTGGGTGGGATGCTCTTCAGAGGGGCAGTGTGGACTTGTTGGGCTGAATGGCCTGTTTCCACACTGTAGGGACTTTTTTTTAAGAAAAAGAGCAGAAACGGTTAGGAATACTACAGCAAGCAACTTGCTCCTGAATCTCCAAAACCTGTTCACCATCTATAAGGCACAAGTCAGGAGTGTGATGTATTACTTCCCACTTGCCTTGATTAGTGCAGCTCCAACAACATTCAAAAAGCTTGACACCATCCAGGACAAGGTGTTGATTGGTACCAAATGCACAAGCATCTGTTCCCTCCACTACTGACACTAGGTAGCAGCAGTGTGTACTGTCTGCAAGATGCACTGCAAAAATTCACCAGCCATCCTTATATAGCATCTTCCAAACCTACAACTACTTCCATCTGTAAGACAAGGGCAGTAGATAAATGGGTTACTGCCACTTGCAATTTCCCATCCAAGCCACTCACCATCCTGACTTGGAAATATATTGTTGTTTCTTTACGGATGTTGGGTCAAAATCATGAAATTTCCTTCTTACAGCATTGTGGGTCTACCTCTTGCACATGCAGCGATTCAAGATGACAGCTCATCTCTACTTTCTCAAGGGCAACTACTGATGAACAATAAATGCTGGCGAGCCAGCAGCTCCCCATCCATGAGAGAATTTTTAATATGTAGGAGAATTAGGGCAACAAATACACCATTCTGACTTGGAAATATGTCTCCATTCCTTTGTTGTTGCTGAGTAAAATTCATGCAGTTGCCAGAACTGCTTACAACAGAAGTTAAATTAGATCAAACGGTAGAATGAATTTGAAGAAGAATGATTGACAGAAAAATAATTACCTTGAATGGAAAAATGTTACAGCATGGAGATGGGCTATCGGATGTCATTCCAATAACAATCCTATTGTGTCTTTAAAAAGAAGAAAATGAAAAGCAACTTGACTGTTGTGCAGTTTTATTCTTTGTTCAGTTGTACTTTTTCTCAAACAAAAAGAAAAAGTTGTTGGAGAAACTCAACGTGTCTGCGTTCTGATGCAAAGTTTTAAATTCTCCCCACAAATGACCTGCCGAGTTTCTCCAGCAATTTCTGTTTTTGCTTCAGATCTCATCATTCACAGTTCTTTGTTTTGTCTTTTTTCTGACTTCATCTGTTATAGTCTTTGAAGTAAACTGATTTTGTTTTTTACATTTGAAATTTTATGTGTTTAAATTTTATTGCTGTTTTGTTTAGGAGGAATCTCAGCGAGCTGGATGATATTCAACGATACTTCAGTGAGAAGCTGTCTACGTCCCCATGTTCCCGCATGATTAACCCAGCCCCACAGCGAAGAACAAATGAGAATCAAATGAATGATTGCAATAGACCTTCACAGTCCGGTGGTGAAATCTTGGAAAAGTCACGTAAACTGGTTGCGGAATCTTTTCATTTAATGAATGGTGAGCAAAAACAAGTTAGTATTTTTTAAAAATTGATTACAGTTTTCTGAGCTGATATATATTATTACTTTTCAATATATATCACATCTTCAAAATTTGCATGTTTAATGCTAGCTTCCATTACTGCAAAAATGAGTTCAAGAAGTTAAAAAGGAGCAATATTTTAATAAGGAAGGGATCCTGAGAGATATTTGCCTGCTGTGACTAGTGCCAAAATTGTCCTGCAAAATATTCTGTTCCAGCAAACAGAAATCTGCTGATTGTACAGGCTGCCAAGAGCATTTTAGTTGTGTTGTTTTGCTTTTTTTCGCTCTTTGTATGTGGGCGTGGCTGGCTAGGACAGCATTTATAGCTCATCCATAATTTGCCCTTGCCAGTTGTCCTCACTAAGCTGCTGGTGAGCTGACTTCTTGAACTGCTGTAGTCCTTGGGGTTTCGGGATGTCTACAGTGCTGTTAGGAAGGGATCTCCAGGATTTTGACCAGTGACATTGAAAGAACAGTGATATAGTTCCAAGTCAAAATGGTCTGTGACTTGGAGAAGAACTTGAATGTGGCGGTGTTCCCATTGCATCTTCTGCCCTTGTATGTCTAAGTGGTAGGTTTGGAAGCTGCTATTGTATAAGCCTTGGCAAGTTACTGCAGTGCATCTTGTAGATGATGCACACTGCTGCCACAGTGCACCAGTGGTAAAAATGAAGTCTGTTATGATCCTAGCTGATCTTGCTACTGTTCAAGTCAAATCACAGAATGAAATCAGGGTCGATAGATCATATTATTAAAAGTGTAATATAGTGGTCTTTCACTGAAACATAAGCATGCCAGAGTACAGATTTGGTTGTAATAATAAAATAAAACTTTAATACACAAAAAAATGAAACAAACCAAGCTATCTACTTATAGTTTGAAAGGTTTCAAAATGTACAGCAAAACACAATATCATCTGCTCCCCAACACCTTCATTTTAGGTTTACTCAAAAGTATCAGAAATTTACCTTCTAATTACTAGATTTAACTTAACTGCTTTATTTCTCAGTTCCTGTCCCGTGAGATGTGAAGACTTTTCCTTGAATCCTTGCACAATTGATATCTTCGACATTTGCAGCTTTGAATAAGCAGTGCAGTTTTTTAGCCAAACACTCCTGGTCTGGAAGTTTCACAAAACAAATGCTTTCACTGAGGTAGCTTATTCCCTCAACTGCTCTGAACAATCTCATTTTCTAGGAGAAACTATTTTTGCATCTGACCCCAGGCAGGTCTCCTCTAAACTGCCGAAAAACATTTCAATCTCTGGGTTTTTCTTTTTCTAAGTTATTATCAGTCCTTGATTATTCTGAACCCAAGAGCAAGCTAATGTTTTTGAACATTGTCTCTCTCCTGTCATGAATTCCCACAATATAAACATACCTCCATGAATACTCCAGGAAGCATATACTGAAAACACTGAATGAAAAAACCATAGAACTGTGGATTCTGGAAAACAGAAATTGCAACAATTTGTTTTTGTTTCTGAAAACACTGACCTCGTTAATTTTTTAACCCCTTCACAAAAGAAGGCATATATATGTCACTGGCCAAAATCAAAAGTTAAAAATCTGATATTAATAAATAAATCACACACATTTCATCACTAGTGAATGTTGAATGTGGTGGATGAAGTGCCAGTTAGCAGGCTGCTTTGACCTAGATCATGTCACACTTCTTGAGGTTGTTTGAACTGCACTCATCCAAACAAGTGGTGAGCATTCCATTACATTCCTGACTTGTATCCTTTGGGTGGTGGACATGCTTTGGCAAGATAATTGGTGATTTTAGACCCTGATTTACTCTTGTAGCTAATACTCTTGAATTTATATGACTGGTCCGGTTCAGTTTCTGGTCAATGGTAACCCCAGGATATTCAAATGGGGGATTCAGCAATGTTAAGTATCATTGAATATTGAGGAGTGATGGTTAGATTCTATCTTGTTGGAGATGTTCATTGCATGGCACTTGTGTGGCACAGGTGTTAACTGCCCATTATATGTCCTACCTGGAGTAATCCAGGTCTTGCTGCAAGTGGACAAGTTTTGAATGGTGCTGAACAGCTTGCAGTCATCCGTGAATATCCCCACTTCTGACCTCATGATAAAGGGAATGACATTGAACCTAAATACTATTGCCTTGAGGAACTCTGCAGTGAACCCCTAGATCTGGACTGATTCAACCATCTTCATTTGTGTTAGGTATGACTCCAACCAGCAGAAAGAATTCCTAATGCTTCCCATTGACTCCAGTTTTGCTCAGACTCCTTGATAACATCAAGGTAACATTAAACTAAGTAAGGTAAGGGTAGTCACACTCACTTCTGCTTTGGAGTTCAGCTATTTTGTCCAGGTTTGGACTAAAGCTATAATGAGATCAGGACTACAGACCCAAAACTGAGCATCAGTGAGCAAGTTATTTTGTACGTGCCAGTGGATAGCCCTGTTGACAATCCCATCCAGTGCTTTGCAGATGATTGAGAGTAGACTGATAGTGTCATAATTGGCCAGGTTGGATTTGTTCTGCTTTTTGTGCATGGGACATACTCAGGAAATTTTCCACATTTCGCATATGCTAATGTGGTAGATGTACTGGAATAGCTTGGCTTGTGGTGTAATTAGTTCTGGAGCATTAGATTTCAATATTTCTGTTGGAATGGTTGTCAGGAGTCTTCTTTTTAGGTGGTAGTTAGTACAGATTTATATATCCTAAACCCACACAATGGATGTAAGTTCTGGCATTAATCAAGGTTGTTTTTAATACAGTTACTCAGTCTTATTGGATGATTGTCCATCTGACTCTTTCTTTAAACATAAACTGATAGTTCAAAACCTATATCATATTTGTCCCTTTTGTCTTTATTATTCATTGTTGGGGCTTTTAATTACTACTTACAAAAACACCTAATTCAAATGGCCTTTGTACTATATACAAAAGGCAGTTGAAATCATTTCTGAGCCATTAGCTGCCACATCTTAGAATTTGATGCAATTTTTCTGAAATGTCACATTTAATTTGAAGTTTCAATATTTACTTGTCATGATTGCTTTTAACAGTCTGTGGAATTTAGTGACAGAAACCCTAATAACATTTTCCTTGTTTGTTGTTTCAATGTTAGGAGTAAACTGATCTAATAATGACTTCATCCATCAATCTTACCTTTGCTTGAAACACCTATAATCTCACCTTCCTCTTTCAAATCTGGGGTAGCCATGATTCATAGCTACTTCGTTATGGGCTAAGTTTTTAGTGTGTTTACTTGATTGATTGTTCAATATACAACGAAAATCTACTGACCAGCACCATTTGTAGAGTGTACTAGATTCTACATATATTAAATCTATATGTTGGCACTTGATTGAATGTTACCAACCAAACGGAAAATGTTTAATGATGAATGAAAAATATTGGTAGCATTATTTTCATTTCCATGTCCATGTTTGTGCTTTGCAATATAATAGGTCTGCAAGACAGAAATAAAGCTGATGTCACTATTCCAGTGCAGTCTTCTCAAGATACAGAAGAAGATTGGGAGAAAATAGCTGAAAATGAACCACAACAATTAGAAAATGAAAGCAACGAAACTAAGAATAAAGTGTTCCTATATCTGCAATCACCAGAGAGAGCAACTCATTTCTGTGCTCAAGGAAGTCCAGAATTGAGAAAAAATGAAATAGATGAATATAGTGATCAAGATCATAGAAGTTCCCAGAACAACAGTCCTACAGTAGAAACTGAAACCCACCAAAATGATTATGGTTGTGAAGGGTGTAGTGAAGAAGGATATGAGGAAGATGTGATACAACCAAGAACCTTGAATGACGTGACTGTTATGACTGACAGGACGAGCCCTTGGTCAAGTATTTTCTCAGATTTACAAGAAGATTATAAGCATGAGTGTGAAGGTAAAAAAGAGACCCAGAAGCCAATAGGAAATGCAAGTCTGGCTGCAGAAGTACAAGTAAATCCCATCCATATACATGATGAGCTGTTTATTGAGAGATTGCAAAATGAGAGTTGTAAGCCACCCAGCAATATGGAAGCTGGTGAGTCCTCACCACATACAGAAAGATCACCATCAATAAGTGAAGGAACAGGTTTTGATTTGCCAGATAGAAATGTAATTCTCCAAAGTGAACAATTCATACGTACAGAATTACTGGAAATACAGACCTCTGATGACCAGGACTATATTTCCTCAAACCCTGACAAAGCAGAAGAGCTAGTGCAAGAAAATGAAAATCTTACAGAACATGACAGTTTTCATAGTAGAGCATTTTTGGTCACAGATAGGAAGGAAAGAGGCCTAAAAGTAAAAAATATTCTTGAAGAATATCACCACGCCAATAGCTTTGGTGAGGTTGGAAATGAAAACCAAGAGTCCTTTAAAAGACAGAACCATGAAGATTCACAGTTCTCTAAAGCTGGTGGGGAATGTGTTCCGACGATACATGAAGAGAGTGCAAATAAAGATTCAACAGATGATACACATTCAGTCAGTTTGTATCCTTTAGTAACTATAATTGATTATAACTTGAACTTCGATGGGAAGGCAGTTTAGTAGTATTCCAAAACCTGAGACTCTTAAGTATGCGAGTACATGTGTTCGAGTAGCAGCATGGCAGATGATGAAATCTGGATTTAATAAAAATCTGGAATTAAAAGCTAGCCTAATGATGTTCACTGTAGATTTTCATAAAAGCCCATATCATTCTCTAATGTCCTTTATGGAGGGAAATCTGCTTCTGCTAGGTGCAGCCTACATGTGATTCCAGACCCACAGCAGTGTGGTTGACTCTTAACTGCTTTCTGAAATGTCCTATCAAGGCATGTAAGAATTGGCAATAAATGATGGTCTGGCCAGTCATGCCAATATCCCATGAACAAATTTTAAAAATAAGTAAGTAATTATAAGTGCGCATTCATTCCAAATACACTCAAAGAAAGGCTGCTGCCATAAATTGCATTTCATTTGTTGCTTGTCAGAAAAGTATTTATGAAATTTTAGTGTTGTGCAGTTAACTAAATGCTATGATTCTTTGTGTGATCATTCCTGAGGAAGGGTCACTTGACCCGAAACGTTAACTGATTTCTCTCCACAGATGCTGCCAGACCTTCTGAGCTATTCCAGCAGTTTCTGTTTTTGTTGTTGAAGACAACAAAAACATTCGTGGTTTAGTTGACCAGCTCTGCACTCTAATCATTTACTATGGCAAGGACTGATTATTAGTTTTTGTAAATGTCCAAGTTAGTTTTTGTAAATGCTCAAGACACCTTCTAGTAATAATCGGTGGTGGGCACAAAGTTGGAATTATTATTTCAGGATTGAAATGTGGAGGTTGAGAAGATTTTTAAAAATTCCCTCATGGGATCTGGGCATCACAGGAAAGCTAGCATTTGTTGCATTTCCACAATTGTCCTTGATCTGAGTGAATTGCCAGGCCAATTCTGAGGACAGTTAAGACTTAATCACATTGCTGTGCATCTAGAGTCTCATGTATGCCCAGTAGGATCAGACTGGCAGATTCTCTTCCCAAAATCATGTTTAGTGAACCAGTTGGGATTTTTTTTTTAACAACAATCAGTGGTAGTATTATGCCTTTACCACTGAGACTAGCCTTATATTGCAGATTTATTAATAAAAATTAAATTCCACCATCTGCAGTAGTGGGATTTGAAACCAGGACTGTGGATTAGTAGCACAGTGACATTACCACTCATTTCCCCCATCCCCCAGTTTTGCTCAGAACATCCAATACTGTTAATGTTTCTCATTGATCCATCATTATTGATTTTCTTAAAATACTTTGTATTTATGTTTTAATGCATGCCATTAATGTAATTGATGAAACTGATTGAGAATAAATGCGTTTGATCAAGTTTAGCTATACACAGTCTGACCAGGAAGATTGAAATTGGGAAAGAAATGGAACTGTTTCTCATTGTGTAGTAAGCTATACTGAAGAAGTTATATACTGTTGTGCTCTTATAAAACTAATGAATATTAATAATCTTTAACATCTTTATTCAGACCTGATCCAGTTGTAATTCCAAACTTTTTCCTCCCACCAAGTCATTTAGAAGCTTCAATGAGGGTGCTCAATGTTGCACAATCATTCCAAACAGCTGCAGCAGATCCAGTAAGTTTTAATCGTTCTTTTGCTGTTGTTACACTGGTCAAAATTTGTATCCACTTAATTTAATAACATATATTAACTTCATAGTACCAAGTATTTTAGAAATTTGGTGCAGCAAACTTTGTTTTAACCGGCACCTTATGAACCAGTATTCTTGCTAAACCGGTAAAAATTATATACCTCAAATACCGCAACATTCATTGTATTGTTCGGTCCAGTTATTATAGCTTTTTAACTTATTTACCTCAACGTAAAAAATACTTGATGTTCAATCAAGTGGCCAAATGAAACATCAACAGTTGATTCAATTTTGAATCAATTTCTCCTCAAATACCGCGATCTACCGCAATGTCCAAGTAGTCATAGAGGGTGTGAGTGAGAAGGTTGTCTGGTGTTAAGTTTTATTTGGGCAAAGTTGCAATGTGATTTATGGTGTAAATCAAATATAACAGTCCTGTATTACTTTTCTGTTACTTAGTGTGTGTTATTATATTGTTTATGTGAACTTAGATTGAGTCATAGAGTTATACAGCACGGAAACAGACCTTTCGGCCCAACCTGTCCATGCAGACCAGGTATCCTAAATAAATCTGGTCCCATTTGCCAGCATTTTGCCCATATCCCTCTCAACCCTTCCTAATCATATACCCACCCAGATGCCTTTTAAATTTTGTAATTGTACCAGCCTCGTCCACTTCCTCTGGCAGCTCATTCTATACACACACCACCCTCTGTGAAAAAGTTGTTCCTGAGGTCCATGTTAAATCTTTCCCCTCTCATCTTGAATCTATGCCCTCTAGTTTTAGACTACCCCATCCTGGGGAAAAGACCTTGCCTATTTACCCTATCCATGCCCTGATGATTTCATTAATCTCTGTAAGGTCAACCCTCAACCTCCAACGCTCCAGGGAAATAGCCCCAGTCTATTCAGCCTCTCCCTATAGCTCAAACCCTGGCAGCATCCTTGTACATCTTTTCTGAACCCTTTCAAGTTTCACAACATCTTTCCTATTAGCAGGGAAACCAAAATTCTGCACAATATTCTAAAAATGGCCTAACCAATGTCTCGTACAGCTGCAACATGACCTCCCAACTCCAATACTCAATGCACTGACCGATCAGAAATCACACAATACCAGGTTATAGTCCAGCAGAATTATTCGGAAACACAAGCTTTCGGAGCCTCAGTCCTTCTTTAGGTGTTGGTGAGAGAGGTAGTATTAAACACAGAATTTATAAGTAAAAGATCAAAAATTCACCCCATTGATGAGGATGTACTAAACAAACCTAAGATGCTGTTAAATCTTTTATCAGTTAGAAGGTTTTAATTGATTAATATGTATATGTAAATCCCCAAATTCCTTTCAAGTCACGGTCCTGAGAGAACTAAAGGTTTTATCAGTGTAAAGAAGAGGTGACATTTCAGGTGTGAGATCTTGTTTAGAATCTGTTTCTGTTATAGTTTGGAGTCAGACTGATTTTATTTCTAAAGTAGGAATTTATAAAACTCTATATTGACTGTCTATAAATTGTGTGCTTTTTGAACATAATAAAATGTATCTGCAAATACAGATTCACCCCACAGATACAAGTGTGTGTGTGTGCACATGTACATGCATGTATAGCATGGTGAGGTTACCTGTAGTGCAACATGAACTCAAGATGCCAGTTGAGGCTGTCCTCATGGGGACCGAACTTGGCTATCAGCCTCTGCTTGGCGACTGCGTTCTTGTGTATCCCGAAGTCTGCCTTGGAGGACATTTACCTGAAGATCTGAGTCCAAGTGTCCTTGCCCACTGAAGTGTTGCCCCACTGGGAGGGAACATTCCTGTCTGGTGATTGTTGTATGGTATCCATTCATCCGTTGTCATAGCGTCTGCACGGCTTTGCCAATGTACCATGCCTCGGGGTATCCTTGCCTACAGCATATGAGTTGGACAATGTTGGCCGAGTCACATGAGAATATGCCGTGCATGTGGTGGATAGTGTTTCCACTTGTGATGGTAGTGTCCATGTTTAAGATCTGACATGTCTTGCAGAGGTTACCATGACGGAGTTGTATAGTGTTGTGGTCGATGTTGTACTGAAGGCTGGGTAGTTTGCTGCAAACAATGGTCTGTTTAGGGTTTGGCGGTTGTTTGAAGGAGAGAACCGGAGGCATGAGGAAGATCATGGCAAGGTGCTCATTGTCATCGATAATGTGTCAAAGGCTGCGAAGAACAGACCAGCATTTTCTCTGTCTCTCTCTCTTCTACCATCGCCCCCCCCCCAACCAACGCATTCTCTCGAACACACACGTGAATCTTTGGGGTGAATTTGTTTGTTGATTCATTTTATTTTTTCAAAACTCACACAATTTATAGACAGTCCATCAATATGGCATTTTAAAAATTCCTACTTTAGAAATAAAACCATACTGACTCCAAACGTAATCACAAACAGATTCTAAACAAGGTCTTACACCTAACATACATCGTCTGACCTAAAATGTCACCTCTTCTTTACACTGATAAAACCTTTAGTTCTCTCAGGACCATGACTTGAAAGGAATTTGGGGATTTACATATACATATTAATCAATTAAAACCTCATCACTGATTAAAGTTTTAACTGCATCTTAGGTTTGTTTAGTACATCCTCATCAATGGTGTGAACCTTTGATCTTTTACTTACAAATTCTGTGTCTGATACTACTTCTCTCACTAACACCTAAAGAAGGACTGAGGCTCTGAATAAATCTGTTGGACTATAACCTGTAGTGTCGTGTGATTTCTGACCTCATCCACCCCAGTCCAATACCAGCACTTTCACATCCTGACCAATAAAGGCAAGCATACCAAATGCCTTTTTCACTATCCTATCCTATCCACCTGCGACTCCATTTTCAATAACTGTGAACCTGCACTCCAAGGTCTTCTTGTTCAGCCACACTCTCCAGGACCTTATTATTAAGTGTATAAGTCATGCCCTGATATGCTTTTCCAAAATGCAGCACCTCACATTTATCTAAGTTAAACTGCATCTGCCATTCCTTGGCTCATTGGCCGGCTTCCAGTCTGGAAAGCAACCCTCCACAACCACCCTCTGTCTTCTACCTTCAAGCTAATTCTGTATCCAAATAACTAGTTCTCCCTGTATTCCATATGATCTAATCTTTCTAACTAGTCTATCATTTCTTGATTATCTGGAATATTTGATCAATCGGCACACTCCTGGTTAAATAGGTACTGAATAATTTACTGTACTACGTATAAACATATGAATCATGAGCAGGTTCAGCCCCTCCAGCTATTCTGCCGTTCAACAAGATCATGGCTAATCTGATTGTATCCTCAAATCCACATTCATGCTTCACCCACGATAACCTTTCATCCCTTGTTTAATAAGAGACTATCAAACTCTGCCTTAAAAATCTTCAAGGACTCTACTTCCACCACCTTTAGATGAAGAGCATTCCAAAGACTCACGACCCTCTGAAAGAGATTAAAAAATTCTCATCTGTTTTAAATGAGTGACCCCCTGACTAATAAACAGTGACCTCTAGTTTTAGAAAGGAAACATCTACCTTGTCAACCACCAATTGCCCTTCATCTGCAGCAGGTATCTCCTCAAAGAACTCCAATAGATTGGTCAAACACGAGATGACTCACCTCCAAAAACCACAAGTATCTTCCTGTGTGCAAGGTATGACTCCAACTAGTAGGGAGCTTGTGTCCTGATACCCATTGATTCCAGTTTTGCTAGAGGGCTTCTTCTTACAACACTCAGCTGAATGCAGACTTGATGTCAAGGGCAGTCAATCTCAACTCATCTCTGGAAATTAGATCTTTTGTCCATGTTTGGACCAAGGCTGAAATGAGGTCAGAAACTGAATGGCTCTGGTGGAAACCAGAGTGGGTATCACTGAGCGGGTTGTTGCTGTGCAGATGCTACTTGATAGCACTGTTGATTACATGTCCATAACTTTACTGATGATCGAAAGTAGAGGATAACTAGGGAGAAGACAGGACCAGTCAAGGATAAAAGAGGGAACATGTGCCTGGAGGCAGAGGATGAGGGCGAGATCCTAAATGTGTACTTTGTGTCAGTATTCATGCAGGAGAAGGATATGGAGGATAGTAAGATTAGTGTGGAGCATGCTAACGTGCTAGGACAATTTGAGATCAAGGAGGAAGTGGTGTTCGGTCTGTTGAAGAGCATTAAGGTGGATAAGTCCCCAGGGCCCAATGGTATCTACACCAGGTTACTGAGAGAGGCGACAGAGGAGATTGCTGTGGCCTTGACCAAGATCTTTATGTCCTCGCTAGCCACTGGAGAGGGCCCGGAGGACTGGTGAGTAGCTAATGCTGTTTGTTCCTCTGTTCAAGAAGGGAAATAGGGATAATTCAGGAAACTATAGACTGGTGAGTTTCACATCATTGGTTGGGAAGCTGTTGGAGAGAATTTTTAGGCATTTGGAAAAGCATGGCCAAATTAGGGACAGTCGACGTGGCTTTGTGTGGGGCAGGTCATGTCTTCTAACTAATTGAATTTTTCGAGGAGATGAAGGTGATCAATGAGTGCAGAGCAGTGGATGTTGTCTGCATGGATTTTAGCAAAGCTTTCAACAAGGTCCCTCATGGTAGGCTCGCCCAGAAGCTTAAGATGCATGGATCCATGATGACTTGGCCACGTGGATTCAGAATTGACTTGCCCATAGAAGGCAGAGGGTAGTGATGGAAGGGTGCTTATGGTTGGAGGTCTGTGACAAGTGGTGTTCTGCAGGGATCATACTGGGACTCTGCTGTTTATGATATATGTAAATAACTTGGATGAAAATGTAGATGGGTGAGTTAGTACAGTTGCAGACAAAACGAAGATCAGTGGAGTTGTGGATAGTGTAGAAGGTTGTCAAAGGATGCAACACGGTATAGATCAGTTGCAATTATGGGCAGATAAATGGCAGATGGAGTTTAATCCGGCTAAGTATGAGGTGCTGCACTTTGGGTGATCAAATGTTAAGA